CCATTCTAGGAGTATTCTTCTACGTGCTAAGATAGATGCAAAGGCTATACTGTCTTTAGTTTTCCTCTTCAACATTTTGTGGCCAGGTAGTACTCCAAAAATGGCAGTTTCTGCACATGGTGTCAATACCACGTCCAAGGCCTCAGTAAGGTGAGAGTTTTTCTACTAAATTCACCAAACGTTAGCAATAAATAATGCCTCAGTTGCATCTTTAGACAAATGTTTTCTGAAAACGTATTAAAAACAATTGTCTTATTGTAAATAATGAATAAAGAAAAAGCCATAAATCCCCACTTCAGTAACATCTCCAGTTGTGTCTATATTCTGAAGGAAGGTAGGAGGGGTTAGTTCATATATAATTCATAGGGTATGTGACGTATAAACTCGCCTGTGTCCGCGACTATTTTGGGGGTTTTGAGGAACAGGCTGCCGTGCTGCAGGTCCATCATCTCTCCTTTCAGCTTGTCCTCCATCACATCCACCAGCGCCAGTTCATCCGTCAGCTCCTGCACACACCAACACACCAACACACCAGGAAACTCAGAACAACAGCTCACAGTAAACTCATTACTCCTCAATGAAAAAGTTCTCCTGTTGTCCTATAAGGCTGCAGCATATGATTCTTTGATACCTTCACACAGAGGACACTCTTACCCTGAGCAGGATGCTGACAGCACAGGCCATGCCCACCTGGCCCACTCCCACCACCGTCACTTTATTCCTGGGGAGCTCAGGAGGCCCGCTGAACAGAGGGGTGATGAGCTTCTGCAGAATTGAGGCCATGTTCAGATCTGCGGAGGGTAAAATAATAGAAGGGGAGAGCAGAATGGATCTGGTCAGAAAACGTGTCGACTGCAGAGGAGCGAACAAACAGTATGCACGGACACAAGTACGGAGAACAGTCCTGCATCCAGAAAGCAGGCTGCGTGCTCTAATTTCATAAATACTGCATTTGGAATCAGGATGACTCGAGTGTAGAGGCATGACATTGAACTTAGTTGCTGTCATCTCACTCCGTTACAAATAAAAATAAAACACATTTATTTTACACCTTTCTGCAGAGTTCACCTTGAAATGACAAGCAGCCTGAGTAACAAAAACAGCAGCAATACTTGCATTGTTTGGCGATGCTCCGAACTGAGATGTATAAATACCAGCAAGTGATCAGCATGGCAGAGTGACAGGACACCTAAAGGTGTGTTACTGTCTGAATCCACAACACCCCCCACACTCCCTGTGTGCAGCCCGGTCAGCTGCAGCGTAGAAGAGGGGACATGTGACTCAGGGCTGACTCTCCTCCCTCCCTCCTCCTCCCCAAATGGAAGACTAGGCACTATAATCTCATGTTGAACTTCACTGGCTGACTGCAGACGGTTAAAGGAGTTACTGTAATCCGTTAACGCTGCCTCCATCTGCTGCACCTGAACTACAGATGAGCAACTTGTCTCTAATAGGATGTCTACACAGAACAATAACAAATGACTTTCTTCAAATACAGTGTATGAAGTACTTCACAAATGATGTTACTTAAGTACTTAAGTGCATGTTCTCTTATACAGCTATGATATTGCGACTGTTTAATAAGAACAGGTTGAAATCTGTTAGGACATTTGTTAATCCCGTCAGATTTAGCTGTAGCTGTCAGTGTGTGATGGAGGGGGGGTGCTGCTCTGACTCATCTGTCCTGGGCTCTGCTGCTGTGTGTCACTCGTGGCGCTTTGGTGTGTGTGATGAGGCAATGTGCCATCTCTCATTCTAACAATTTGACATCTCTGAGAAAGAATACGAGTCCCATAAAAGGTGCCGTGTTCATTCATTAGCCTTGAGTGAAACTGGATTAGCAGGAGAAAGCGCTGTGGACCGAACACATGTAAACATGAGGAGGTAATAAAGTGGCTTAAGCCTGCAAGTTCACCAAAGGGGCAGAATGTGTCATAACCTTTAATTAGGCAAAGTAAAAACACTGTTGGTACCTTAATGATCGAGGAGCCAAAGTATCATCAGAGAATTAGCAAACACAAGACAGCTGCCGATCGTTTAAATGTGACTTAGAACGTTAAGTGCCCTAAGTAAACTTGAACTCAGACAGCGCTGTGCAGACGGCACTTTAAGAACTGTAATCCAAAAACAGCTGATTTTAGTACCACTGTAGTAAAGGGACATTACATACAGGTATACAACTTTGACAGCAATATTTCATGAAAACAGCCCTTCTTATTATATAGGTAATTATTGGATGAGTAAAAAGGGTTCCAGATAAACTACATTTAAAGACAATTACTCACAAGAAAGATGCATTTCCAAACAACTGCTAACGAGATATCATTATCTTTTTGTGAATAAACAACCAAAAACATTCTCTTTTTTGTACACTTTCCCCCATTTCTCTGCATGGTTCAGATGGTGGAGATAAACAATCAGACTGGAAACGTACACACCTAGTGACAAAAGTAAGTAGATCCAATCATACAAAGTGGATAGATTTCATTGCAATTCTACAAAGATGAAAGAAAGCACCAAATCTGCATGGAAAACAGGAAGAGGTGCTAAAAATGTACCTGTTATCACTTTATAAAGAAAAGATTACACATCGTAACTTTCTCCCCAGTCAGACACAACATACCTAAATCCACTTCAAATGTGTCCTGCTGATTATTTTGAAGAAACCCACGGCTGTTTACCTGTTTTGTCTTGAGGGTCCACTTCCTTGGGGCTCAAGTCCTTGTCCTTTCTTCAATTCGACTCACCCTTGGCGTGCGCGACTCTGTGCTTGTTCTGTGATCAGGCTGCAGCCAACTGGATTTAATTGACTAAGCCTCTCCATCCTCTACAAAGTCTCGGTTTGGAGATCCAAGGGTCACCTTAGGTACAGCGCTCACCAAAAACAACACATACTTCCTGTTGAATAGAATGAAAAAATAATGTTTTAAAAGATTGATCATCATTTGGATTTCTATGCATTTTCAAACTTCTTTTTTTTTCCTACTGATTGGGCCTCATTCACCAGTTCTATCTTAAGTCCGTTCTTACATTTGTTCTTAAGAGAATCTACTTTCATGCTGTGTTATTAACAGCAGAAATGTTTGTATCAGTGTTATTAAAAAGATCAATCCCATTGTTCTTTTAAATTGAAAGCATGTGCCAATTGTTCCTCATTCGCTGGCTCCCCGCCAATCTGTATAAAAAGGACTGCAGGGAAGTGGGCGCACGCAGAAACACAAAATATAGAAATTTGGGATCTAAGTCAATAATACTGAAACAAAGTCTACAGTGGAGCCTCAAACATCAAATGTAAAAAGGGATGCTATTACTTTTCTAGTTTTCAAGTTTTTGTGTATGATTCCATTCCTCTAAATCAGGGGTGTCAAACTCAAGGCCCGGGGGCCAAATCCGGCTTCATTTTATATGGCCCCACAAGAGCTTGCAAAGAATATAAAATGTTTATTATAAAGTTACATGCTACTTTACAGAAGCGTTGCCCATAAACTACATGTCCCACAATGCATCTCAAATTTGACTTTTTCTCAGAATTTGACTTTTTTTGTCAAAATATGCCTTTTTTTTTAGAATTAGCCTTTTTCTCATAATAGATTTCTTTTTC